CCCCCTGGTTAGATAATTAGCTCTCCAGCCTCTCGGAAACCACGTGAAATAACTTTTTCAGTGAAGAACAGTTACAGTGGTGGACCTCCTTTACTGGGAGGAAGGAGTAACATTATAATAAAGATAAAAAGCTTTTTCCTGTTAATGATATTACAAAAGCGTTGGTAACAGTAGAGAGGGAAAAACAAGCTTAACCGTCCTGGTAAATAGTACAAAGTACTAGATAGCTTTAGTAATGTGTTCTAACTTTGAAAGCAATTTTTAGGAATTTCAGCAGAAGGCTGGAGCTGAAGTGACTTCCCGAAAGCTATTGGAAACATAGTTGGGCAAAACCTAGGATGTGTGGAAAGCTTCTGGATTAGTTTAACTCCACTTGTTAGAATTCACAGACATTCAAGGTGCACAACTGTTTCTAGTCAGGGAGACTTGTATAATAAATGAGCGCTTAAAAAAGAAAAGCAGCGCAATGAGACCAATATTCCAGAAAGCTGTATTTTTAGTTACTGGTGCAATTGTACAGGGGGTTGTGAGAAAACGCTGATCATGTTCCTATGCTCCGGGAGAAGTAACGTTGTTGATTCATCTGCAGAACTTTGTCTTTCTGCCCCCGCGCTCCCCAGTAGCGCCTTTGTCACCACCCCCTTATCCTAGATTTTTGGGTCTCTGTTCCAAAAATGCGACTGTCTTGCTACCTTCCTCTTAAAGTGCTTCCTGTACACCTTTCTTGTGTGTGCCAACTTCATTACTAGTAACAAAGGAGGGAGAAAAAGGCACGTTGCAAAGCTTTGGAAGTAACCTCAATCCATCGCGTAACTACTCGGAACTGGTCCCGATGTAGAAGATGCCATAATAACCGATCCTTAGTTTCTGGATGGTTTAGTCCTTTTGGCTGGAGGTCCTGACAGTGTACTAGTTCAGCTTTCCCTTTGTAACCACTGTGATTCTGCAAGAACGTGTCAATGTGTCGTGGATCTCAGACTAATTAGTTTTGAAATGGAGTTTTGATTGAACTCTTCAAATCGATGCTGCTGCAAAATTTGTTTCTCGGCTTCCTATTAAAAGCCATCTTAAGGGGCAGTTTTACTACTCTCTCTGTCGTTCAGTCGATACATTTAATAACAACTTACAGGCTATTTTCAATAAAGTGGCGACAGCAAATTAGTAGTTTGAACATGACAAGCCTCCTCTGCAAGCTCAGATTCTGAAAATTCAAAGCAATTATTTTTATACAGAGGCACACTGCAATCATTCAGATTACGGGTATTCTGTTGTAATGCGTCTCCTAGGTTGACACAAACAGAATTTTATGACTTTATTTGGACAGGAAAGAGATGCAAATATTAATATTTATTATGACACCAATACGCTAATTTGTAAATCCTATTACTATGTTTTACATTGTGCAGGAAAGTGGGTCTGTGACCCTGCCAGCTAGTTCAGTTTCCTTTTCTACTGTGAAATGATTGCGGTACTCTTTATAAATATTTGTGTATATTAAAGAGAGAAGCACAAAAGCAAATAAAGGTTTCCTAATTCTAGCTAGCAGAGTCTGTAAAAGTAGAGCTCAATAATCATTATTGTATTATATTTTGAATCGATGTGTTGTGCCTTTAAATGGATTTGAAGAATTATGTATATATTTTTCTTCACTTGTTTGCATGGGAAAACTGCAGTGATACAGCAAACACCCAGAGAGATATGATGACAAATGGGTCCAGATCCCGGTAAATTACTTTCTGCTCAAATCGAAATTTCATTCAGTTTGTTGCTAGCAGAGATGAAGTAATCTAAATTGTGGACTCAGGAGCAGATAGAGGGAAGTTGGAGCAAGCATTTCATTATCAAGAGAGAGAGAAGGTTAGGATGAAAGAGATGAGCAGAGGCAAATCTAAAGTGTTGACACTATGATTGAAAAGGTTAACCCATACACATTATATATCAACCTGGATAGCAGAGAGTTTCTAATGGAAACTCTGCACTGATGGAGGTTTACTGGAGTTTCAATACACTGAGCATGATGTCTTCTTAGATATACAATCAAATCCTCTTAACCCTTTTGATGACTCATATCTCAAGATATGATTAAAGTACAAAAGAGTTCTTCATATAATTTCAAGGACACAATGCATTTAAACTCCAGTCATGAATTGTATCTTTTTTTTATGATGAACCTAGTAATCTGATAAAATGTGTGTAGTACAGAATTGTTTGTGTTTCTAGAGGTGTAAGTCAATATTTCTGATTAAATCCTGTGCAACCACATCCAAGGTAGGGTGAAGCTACCAGTTGTTATACAAAAATATACTTTTTCATATTACAATCCATAAGCAAGTTGGAAGACAGGGGTCAGAAGTCTAAAATAGTTGTGTAATAAACCATTGCAGTGATGCGCAAAAATACTTAGAGCCTCTTGTGTATTAAATTATTCATGATCATCACCTCTGTTTCAGGTTATTTGGAAATAGTGGTGCTTGCAGTGCCTGTGGACAGTCCATTCCTG